CAGTACCATTACTAATTTGCTGGTGATTTATTGAGGTAACAGCTTTGCAACACCACAGGTGCACACACACTGCAGGGAACTTTGTAGTTCAGGTCTGGGAGTCCTGATTAGATTGAGAAATACGCTGTACAGTTGTGCCCATCTTGACTGTGCCTGTGGTGCTAAAGAAAGACAGCTGGGGACTGATAACTGCAATGGCCAAGTGTGGTGCCTAGCTTGTGTCCATAAAAATAAGACCCTAGTGTTGAAGCAGTAAAAGCTGGGTCATCCAAATCAAGAGAGCGACCTAGCAGTTTAACTGGCTGATGAGAGTGTGTTCTTTAAATTCAGTCACTGGCCCTTTTTTGTTTAACAGTCGAGGTATATTACTCTGGAGATATTAAAACCTTGATTAAGTAAGTCCACAAGGAATCTGATGCACCGGATCTACTCTGAGCAAAACTGGATTAGGTGGTCTATAGCAGTCCTTTATAATTTAAACCATTCTAAGATTCTATGAATATTATTTCTAGTGACAACTCTGTCCTATCTAAACTAGCCAGTCATATGCTGGTTTGCTCGTGGGTTTAAGGGTCAATCGGAACAGAACACTCTGTACCCACTAAAATCCTCTTAATCTGCCTGTTGGGAATGATGCCTTACCCATTGCAGGCTCTGTGCCGTGCTTGAGAACTGTTCTGTGATTCTGTGGAAGGCACCGGACTAGATCAAAATTAGCTTTCCAGGAGCCATGTGAATGATTTCACTGGGTGAATGATCAAGTTTCAGTACATGGGAATCTTCCTTAGCCTTTTTTACTTGACTTGTACTGAAATAACACTTGTGTCTGAAAGCAGCTTAGTTAGTTCAGACAAGTGTTACAGACCTGGGCAGGCTTCGTGCCAGCTGTTGTATGGTTGGTCTTTTCCCTTTTGTGAGCTCTCCCATTGTCTTGAAGTCAGGTGAACTCACAGCCCATACTGTGAAAACTAAACCAGACCAAGACTTGTGATTATCTACAGTGATACTGTTGTTTTAACACACTGGTGTGGTTTTGGGCTGGGCCACCTCACACAACGCAAAGCCAAGGGGCCACTTTGGATAACACTAGCCAAGGTCTGCTCCTGATGGGCAGTAAGTAAAAGGTCAGTAAGTAAGTAAACGTAACTCAGAGGACAGGAGAGACTTTAATCATGAAAGCCTCTCTCTTCTGCTACTTGCCTTCAGAATGGCCCCAGCCCATTCTGTTTACTAACATAAATGTAGTTCTAATATAATTAACTTAGAAACATTCAACAAGATGCGCACTCATGAAGTTTCTCTTCATTGAGAATTTTGTAATGCAGATAGAGGGGCTGAGTCTTACTAAAGTTTGGTATTTCTTGGGATGATTAGTACAAGAGCTGTATGGTGAACAAGGGGAGTTTGAACCTTGCAAAGATGTATAGCTCAAAATACATCTCATAATAGCTCATTATCTAAAAGATGGCTACGTATTTCCAAACTTGTAGTATTCCAAAAGAATGTACACTGGCTGCTTTTGAGATGCCCCTTTCCCTAAAACACACTTTTCCTTAATTTTCTTACACTGTAGGCTTGATGTCTTGTAAAATAACTGATGCCAATTCTGCAACAAACCTCATTGCTCCTTTAAATCCTCTCCAAAGCTGTAATGGGTTATCTAGGTCTTTTCTTTTGGACTTCCTGATTAAACCTTTTATTTTCAACCTTGAAATTACTTTCAACTGTTCAGAACACTGTTCAGAAACAAATATTTTGGCTTGCCCAACAATATTTTTATATTTTTTTGACCAAACAGTGAGAGATTATTACAAGGTTAAAGTGTTATGTGCCTTAAAATTTTCAAAAACCTTCAGCTGCAGAATCTTGAATTATGTTTTCTGTCCTCCTAAACATGCTGTTTGGAACCCCAGAATAGCAGCAGTACATTTTGTTCCACTTGGCAGCTGGGTGAACAACATGAACAGAGAGCAGACACTAAAAGGGAACTCAAGACCAAAAATAGGCTTTTTAATTTTTCCTTAGTTATTTGCTGCCAGATGGTTTCCAGTAGTATTCCTCAAGTGTTTCCTCTGATATTACAGGGAAGTAAGAATTTGAAGTGCCCTTAGACCAATCTTTGTGCAGTGGATTGATGTGTTCAAATAGCAGGTATGACACATTCAAATAACTCTGAAAATGTGTTTACAGGAATCAACAGTTTTGCTGGGTACTCATCGTAACAGTTATGATCATTTTGATGTTTATTTCTTATCCCTTTTTTCATTTTTGGAAGGGAGTTTATGAAAGACAATGAACAGGTTTAAGTTATTGGTGTGAATATTCAGCTAAAAAGTATTTTGCAGAGAAAGTGGTGCAAGAAAAACCATGTTTGCTTTCTTATATTTTCATTTAGTTAGACATGGTAAGCCATCTGTAATAAAAACTAGCAAGACACTGATTGCTGATCACAGCTGAATTCAAGTCTGCATTATTTATGGAAAACCAATATGCAACTTAACCAATGAAGTTCCAAACTTCAGATTATTCGCTTGCCAAATATACTTCAGTAGTAGATTTCTATAGAGCAAATTGAACCTTCCTAATGTTGATGTGAGTTATGACAGTACCAAGCATTTTCTTAACATTAAAACTGAGTGGAATGATATCTGTAGAAACATAACTCCTGAACTGTAATAACTTGGCATCAATGATAATGACATTTCAAGACAGGAATTGTAATGCTGGTGGAAAAATGCAGAAATAATTTAATTTAAATGCACTTCTTCAGTAGGATGGGATTATTAAGCCCTTCTGCATAATGATATTAAATTAATTGAAAATATTTGTTCTTTCCTTACAGTTCACTGCATTTATACTTAATAGATAATATTGCTTTGAACTACAACAAAGTTCTTTTTCAAAAGACTTGATAGGGTATTGAAGCACTGTCATATCTGAGGGCAGCAAGTTTTAAAACATATAGTATGTCTCCAAGTATTAATAAAACCCAGCAATACTTCAAAGTTTTCAAGGAAATCATAGAATAGTTTGGGTTGGAAGGGATCTTTAAAAAGCATATAGTCCAACCCCCTCACTATCAGCTGGGTCAGGTTGATCACAAAGCTCCATCCAATCTGACCTTGAATGTTTTCAGGGACAGAGTATCCATTACTTCTCAGGGTAACCTTTTCCAGTGTCTCACCAACTACATTGTAAAAATATATTTCCATATCTAGTCAGAATCTACCCTCTTTTCATCTGAAGCTATTACCTCATGTTCTGTCAGAGCAAGCTCTCCTAAAAAAATCCCATCCTCATTTATCTTGTAGCCCATTAGGTAGGCTATCTTGTACCTTTTAGGTACTGAAAGGTTGTTGGGAGGGCTTCCCCAAACTTGTCTTCTCCAGGCTGAACAGCCTCAGCTCTTCCAGCTTTTTGCCTTGGGTGTCTCAGTGTTCTGGCCATCTTTGTGGACCTTCTCAGGACTTGCTCCAGGAAGTCTGCTCCCTTGACCAGCTGGCCACTCTTCTTTTGGTGGAGCTGGTTTTCTTGGCACCAGTGCACATCCCCAGTTCATGTCCAGAACCCAGGCCCTCCTTGTCAGGGCTGCTCTCAGTCTTTTTATCTCTTTCCCATTTTGTATGAATACTATATGAATTACCCCAAACTACATGCAAGACCTTGCACTTGGCCTTGTTGAACACCATGAGATCCTCATGAGACCACCTTTCGAACTTATGCAACTCCCTCTCAATGGCATCCCATCCTTTGGCCATGTAAACCACATTACTCAGCTTGGTGTCATCTGCAAATTTGCAGTGTGCACTTTCACTATGCCATTGATGAATGAGCAAAAAGCCACAGCAGTCAAGTGAAACCAACAGTGACTGGAAAATAGGACACACTGCACCCATTTTCCCAAAGAATAGGAAGGAGGACCCTGTGAACTATCTGCCTTGTTCATGGAAACATCATGGAACAGTTTCTCCTACAAGATGTGCTAAGGCACGTGGAGGATAGGCAGGAAATTCAACCCAACATGGCTCCATGAGGCAAATCTTGCCTGACATATGTATAAAAGCCATCATATTATTCCTTGAGTCCCTTGCCAAGGCCAGTTCCAGTCCCACCTTGACCTTCCTGATCCCATTCCTACACAACTGCTGTGTCCCTATACTCTTCCTATGACACTTGTCCCCATTTCCTCTGCCTGTGTATTTCTTTGTCTCCCTTAGGTTTGACTAGAAGGGTGCTCAAATTGGCTCTTAGTGCCAGTCTTATCTTCCTTTCCTGATTTAGTAGCAATCAGGAGATCTGGAGATCACAAGCTCTTAGCCAGTCTAGAAGATGTCCTTAAAGATCTCCCACTCTATTCTGTGCCCTTGTCCCTGAGGGCAGTTTCCCAGGGGGTCCTCTTGACCACCTTTGCAAAGAGCTGGAGTTCTGCTTTCCTAAAATTCAGGGTCCTTTATTCTTCACCTGACCCATATCCCTCAGGACTGACTCCACAGTTGCCTAAGATACGAAGTGAAAGATATCATTTAAAACACAGTAAGACAGATGAAATGCAAACATGTGCCTACAAAATTAGAAGAATTTTTTTAGAAAAGAAGGTAGATGAGCCACAGTTATGAGATTTGATTAAAGAAGGGACATAGTAGTTTACAATGTATGTGAATAACCAATAACATTCAGACTCTAATCAGGTGAACTGCAAATAATTTTGTGGCTCAAAGTTTACATCCTAGACTAATAGAAACAGGTTTTGATGAGAATCTTCTGTTAATTGCAGGTATTTTAATCTTCAGTTTCTTGGAAATCAAGTTTGTTTGAGAACAAAGAATTTTGATTGTGTTTAGTTGTTATGATTAATACCTTTGATTAATGCAATTGACATAGATGGTCTCATTTTCTCGAATCCTAGACAGTAAAATTTTGCTCCATTAGGTACAACTAAATAAAACTATAGCAAAATTAGATATTTCCTTATGAATACCTACAGTACCTCCCTTTTACCCCTCAGAACAAAAGTTTGCTTTCGGTAAGAGCACTGATATTCTCCTGTTTGCAGAGGTGCATCAGTTCAACCTATGAGACAAACCTGAAATGAGACAGTACAATGTGAAAAGACATGCTTTTCAGTTTTCACAGCACTGCAGTAAGTGCAGTTTTCAGCTACATCAAAGCAGTAAATCTTGAGGTCAGAAGCAGAAATCAAATAGTGCCATACTAGCTTAAAGAAGTAATTGTATACATGCTAGTATATACTGTACTGTATATTGATAACGTAATTAGAAAATTCTTAAATTTGAGAGTGTGAGATTGACTTTCCAGATATGCAGTTTCCTCCAGTTGTCTGGGAAAAGATGATACCTAACCTCCTGCTGCTGAGATCAGCTGGCTTCTCAGCATTGAATTCAATAAAGAGTGGAGTTTGATCTCTGCTTTGTGCAGTATTACAGTTGCACATTCTATGAAGAATTGGCAACTAAAGGTCTTGGTGATTTGAAATAACATGTGGCATTTGAATTACTGCTTTCTAGTGCCTTCAACCAGTACCAGTCTTTATAAGGTGAAATATCTAGATTTAAGAAATAAAGTTATAAAGTTGTTATTAAGGAGTAAAATCAAAAATTCCCTCTAAGAAACACCAGTCTCACAGACTTTAATTCCTTATTTACATTTCAGTGATACAGTGCTAAAGCTGTCTGGTAATCAAATGACCATTCAGCTATAAATGAGACAGAAGGCATAATGCATTTTTAAGAGAGACTAAAATGCATTTTCTCAAAGAACATTCTCTATCTTTTAATTGAAATTAGGCCATGATTTCCCCATTTTGCTATCAGCTAATATAAGCAGCAGTTATGAGTCAGTCAGCTACATAATGTGAGCAGGCATAAGTTCATCTAACTAAATTATTTGAACTTAAGACTAAGACGAGAAAGCTCTACAAAACTTCACTCAAGCACACGGTAATGTACATGTAGAAGGGCATTAACCTGTCGTCTTCTCATGCCTCTGATGGCAATTCTGGCTCTTGTTAAAGTCTTACGAATTTTTGCCAACAGCTTTTCAAGTGTTTTGGGGTTTAAAAATACAAATGAACGAGAAAACCATTCTTTATTCTTGCTTCGTATCAATATACAGTACAGTCAGGGCAAATTGCTGCCATCCTGAAACACACACTTATCTGGCCTGTGTAAGCTTTTCTACTCTTCCTTCCCCCTTCAGATTTTCTAGCATTTTCCATAATAGTAATAGCCAAAATGTTCAAGATTGATGTATTGGGTTACATATGCATTTAAATAGCATGCAAGTGTCAGACAATTTATAATTTTCTTCCTCTCATTCTTCCTCTTGCTGTCTATTAAAGCAAGACATATAATAAATTTAAATTCTTATAGAAGAGCAGCAATGATATTATTTAGCAGGCCAGTAGCACTTAGCTATGGATCACTTTTTCAGAACAAGATCTGATAACAATGCTATTTTAAAATATCTAAAAAAAATGATAAAACTAAGCAAATTATTAAACTTTGAGATTGACTGTCATTAATAAGATGAAAGATTGGTTAAGAAACATAATCAAAGACATTGATAATAGATAGATAAGATAAATAGTTATTATTTTAATATATTTAAAAATATTTTAAATGGATTCAGGATTTTGTGGTTTTTTTTCTCCAACAATTTGTCAGACAGGAACTTCATATCAAATACAGGTATTGATTCACACATCTTGATAAATCCAGTGTCTTCTGTCCACACACCCGCTATCAAACTTCATCACTGTACTCTTTGTGAAAGTTGATTGATTGGTTTGGATCTGGCTTACACCAGAAAAACAGGAAAAGCTTGTTAACTAAATTAAACAAAATAATAACAACTAAAATTAGTAAGAAATTTAAAAAAAAAAAACATTTAGTACAAAGCAATCTCTCACAGATTCAAATTATTTTGTATGTGTAAGCTAAGAAAAGTGAATATTATTAAATCATCCACTCTAGAACATTTAATTTATAGAAACATTATCTAATAATCTAAATACAAACTTCTAAAAATTTCATCTTTCCAGGACCAACAAGATGAAGCATCTTTTGATTTTTGCATCTCTTTATTTATATGTTTATTATGTAAACTATTAATATGCAAACTATTATAGAAATAATGTTAACAAAATAATGTTCCTCTGTGTATATACCAAAACATAGAAAATTATTATTCAAAGATCAAGAAAAAAAAATTTAAAAGTGCTAATAAAATTCAAAAGGAAAATATAAATAAAGAGCAGAAAATTAGTATGGGAGGAGAAAAAATATTGAGACTGGTCTTACTAGCAAAAATGCTTTTTTTGAATCCCTTGTTAATGTCCATTCTCACAATGTCCACTATAAGAATAGATTTATAGCCTTTGGGGGAAGTTTAATCACCTTTTTTTAATAAATAAACATCATATTTTGAGTTAAATTTTTACAGAGCAACCCATGTTTTTTGGAAAATATCTAGCAAAATCTAGTGGCTTCCTAGTATAATACATTTGCGACAATGAGTAAAGGTATACAAGTCCATATTTCTTCAAATTGAATATGCTTCCCAAGGCAAAACCAGTGGAGAGACTGATTGTCAAGAATCTTCCTATAAGGTGAAGTTCAGACGTCTCCATTTGGGCCATGATCCCATGTTTTTAAGGCTTTTCTAATGGTGGAAATATCAATACATAATCTTAATTCTGACAGGAAAAGCAACACAGGAATGCATCGCAAATCCTGGCTAGATGGTGACAGACAGGGGTGAGACAGCCCTGCTCCCGAGCCCGCAAAACCCCACTACCAGTGGAGGTTCGGCACAGAAACAAACCGGCAGCACCACGGGTCTGGGGTGGAACTGGAGTAACTTTACTCGATGACAAAACTCCCTGTCCCCAGGGTCCCAGGACCCTGAACTGAGGGCAGACAATAACATAAATGGAGGCAGGTCTCAAGGGAGGATACAATCTTTAACTAATCAGGAGAACTAGGAGTGAAAACCAAGGTGGGGAATACAATGCATAAACCAATAAAAAATTTCAAGGGAGGAGAACAGCTTCAGTGAACTAAGAGGGTTTGGAAAAGTACAAAACTGGCAGGGAAGTTTCTAGGGTGAAGGCAGGTTCGGGGAGATATTGACATTTAATGAAAGTTCTGGGGAAAGGGCAGGGACAAAAAGGACAGCACAAGTAAACTACAAAATTACAAATCAAACAGTCAGCATACTAATAAAAAACCCCCACACCACTACAGGAATGTTTTGATTTTAAGTTTAATTCCTAGCACAACACAGTATCGTGGCACCAGGCTGGGGAGCACCATATGGGATGGCATCATTCACCCTGGGGTAGCTGTGCTGCTGTGGACAGAGGAGCACATCATCAGAAAGTGTAAAACAGGAATTGGGAGGAAGTGGCCCACTAGATGTACTGCTGGTCTGTGAGAGGGCAGATACAGCTTCTTGTTCATGCTCTCAGTTCCTCTCAGTAGTGGTTTTTTGAATATTTTGAATATTTCTATCCTATGTTTCCACTGTAATTGATGCTAACCAGAAGAACACAGTGAGGAGGCACGATAAGCTCCTGAGCAAGAAGCTGGACAGAGTGCAGACATCATTGTCACAAAGCTGCATCCAAAGTAGAGGTATTTTAATAATTACTACCCTGGACTTAAGGTCCTACATTTTATGCTCATCCCATTTGCTGAGCTAAAGCCTTCCCTCTGGATCTTAATCTCTGTAATAATATATCCCATCTCTGTGAAAGGCAAGGAACATCTTTTCCTTGAAGCTTTTAAATCCTTTGAAGAAAATTCAACTGAGTACAAAGGGATCCAGACTGAAGAAACCTTGAATGCTAATAGTACTAGTTGTATTGTTTACTTTCAGTACGTTGATATAATATTATTATGCAAAACATGAGCTAAAGAAGAAAGAACAAAGGAATACAAAAACCAAGAGCAGAACCGTGAAAAATCTTGTTAATTTTAAATTAGTTGAATGTTTCAGCTTCAGCATTATTTTTTTAGAAGACTTGGAGAATGAGTAAACAAAGATTTTTCAATCATATGATTCTGTCAGGTAGAGTTTGATGACTTTTTAAATTGCATGTCTCCCTCCATTTCAAAGGAGAAAATGACAGCTAAAGTTTGTTTTCATCAACCAAAATGTGTTTTTTTTCCCCCGCAGCATTAACTGCATGGCATCTACAGTACTGACAACATGCTATTTGAATACCCAGCATTTCAGTGCCAAAAGAAAATTAATATGTCTTATTAAGAAAATCCCCAAAGTTCTCTTCAGCAATGAAATACTACAATCATGGATGCTGTAATTATGCAAATAATAAATTATATTTAGTATTGCCCAAGTGCCACTAAGCTATTATATCTGCATGCTTGTAGATCTATCTTCAAACATATCTGCATGCAACTCATTCATAATCAGAATATGTATTTGATCAGTTGAAGTGCATTTTTGGAAGGCAAATGCCTTGTTTATTGGTAATGAAATGAAGGCCTCAGAGTAGCTAATAAAGACCTAGATAGTTTAAAGCTTTTTTTATACATCCATGTGCCCTCAAAACTCCTGATGAACTGTGTGGTCCAGATGATCAGACAGTGTCACACAGGCATTGACTCACACTACTTGTGATTCTTCCCACATGCTTGATTTGCTCCTGTATTAACCCTTCTCACAGCCCCAGACCTATGGGAATTACATCTTCCACTAACATCTTATTGTGAGATATGAAATGAATGTCTTTTTGCCCTGTAGATGAAATTTTGAACCTCACCTGCAATAACATTTGAGAAATACTTTAGACAACCTAGTATTACATACTACATCCTAGGCTGTGGACAAATAATACATGATTCAGTTGTAAATTAGAATATTTAAATGTACTATTTAAATATAACTGTAACTGTCTGCATAGTAGTATTGGGCTTGTGTGGACAAAAGGTTCTGGTATCAGGGGATCAGCTCTATAGAGGTACCCTCTGTGAGAAGCTGCTCCTGTGTCCAACTGAGCCACTGCCAGCTGGCTCCAAGACAGATCCTTCACTGGCCAAGGCTGAGCCCATCCGCGATGGTGGGAGCAACACTGGGGTAATAGATTTATGAAAGGAAAAAAATACTGCACAACAGCAGGTGGGAGAGAGCAGTGAGAATGTGTGAGAGAAACAACCCTGCAGGCACCAGTGTCACTGAAGAAGGAGGGGGAGTAGGTGCTCCAGGCACTGGAGCAGAGACTTTCCTGCAGCATGGGGTGCAGACCATGGAGAGGCAGCTGTGCCCCTGCAGCCCATGAGGGAGCAGAGATCCACCTGCAATCTCTGGAGGACTCCACACTGAAGCAGGTGGATGTACCCTGCAGAAAGCTATGACCCTGTGGGAAGCTCAGGCTGAAGCAGGCTGGAGCAGGACAGGTGGACCCAAGCAGAGAGGAGTGCATTCTGGAGCAGGTTTTCTGGCAGGTTCTGGGATCCCATGGTGGGGGACCCGTGCTGGAGAAGATTTTCCTGAGGGACTGCACTGCATGAAAGTCCCCATGATGAAGCAGTTTATGAAGAACTGCAGCCTGTGGGAAGGAATCACACCAGAGAAATTCATGGAGGACTGTCTCATGTGGGAAGGATCCCCTGCTGGAGCAGAGGAAGAGGGTGAGGTGGAAGCAGCAGCAAAGTCTCATGAACTGGCTATGAGTCCTATCCCCTATGTCCTTGCACAGCTTATGGTAAGAGGTAGTACAGTCAGCAATAAAGGAAGTTGAGCTTGGGAAGATGGGAGTGTGGAGGAAAGGGGTTTTAAAACTTGTTCTATTTTTCTCATTATCTTACTCTAATTTACTGGCAATGTTTAACTAACTTTCCTTATTCAAGTCTGTTTTGTTTGTGTCTGTAATTGCTGAGTGACCTGCCTATATTTATGTTGTCCCCATGAACTTTTGATTGCATTTTCTCCCCCTGTCCTGTTGAGGAAAAGGAGTGATGGAAAAGCTTGGTATGCGCTCAGCAGCCAGCCAAGGTCAACCCCTGTCTCTTCCACATTATTCTGTATTGCAGCAAATGTTTTGCATTGAGATTTCTGATAGAGAGTATGATCATAATTTTCCCCATCAATTTTAATTTTAATATTAATTTTAATGCTAATTTTAATGTTAATTTTAATGTTAATTACAGTATTGGGAGTATGAGACTCTAAAAATAACAATAATTATTTTTGTCTCCATAGTTATTTTTGTCTTTTATCATGCTTTTTCTCTGTGAAATGGTTCCTTTTGCTATGAACAACTTGCCTTCTCTCTTCTACTAATCAACCATTTTATCATGTATGTTGGACCACTAGACAGATCCTTCAAACTAGTCTGTGGGACACAAGCAGATTAGCGTGCTTTTACTTGATCGTATTCTTGGTACCCACAAAGTAATAACTTCTTTAAGGATTGCAGCTATCCTAATGACCAAGTGACATTAAAGTCTTCAGACTATATCTGGATAGAAAATACATGGAACACAATATTTTCTGAGAAACAGAGCCACTAAATTCACATCTTTGTTAACTGTGGAAAGTAACACCAATGACTACTAAGTTGAAGGGTAAAAAAAGGAATACCAATTTTGTAGGATAGTATCCTATTTTCAGTGGTTTCTCTGAGTTGACCCAGTGAAAATATGTTCTATGTAAGACCATGTCCTGTGAAACAGCAAGGTTCTGTGCATTGAATGTTCTTCTTCAAAACAGAAATCATTTATAACAGGGGAAAAAAAGTTATTACTGTTATGAGCAACCTTGTTTAATACTAACCACTTTAAGACCCACACAGAAGAGGAAAACATTAATTTTTCTTCTCATGTATCCCAAGCATTAATGTATAGCTTCACGACACTTAATCTTTCCCTTTTTTGCTCCTGTCAGTCCTGCAACCTTTTTTAGGGAAAGATGTATTGCAACATCAGTCAGGAAAAATGAGTAAGTCATTTCTTTTCCATGCAAGAGGAATGAGCAATCTGTCTGGATAGGCTCTGGAAACAATGATGAATAATGAAATGAATAGTTAGTTCACTAAAAAGTGCAGTGTTGAGGTCATTGAAATGTCACTTTTTCTTGAAATGACTTTTTAATAAAGATTGTTTTGAAAAGCCCAGATTTTGTTCTTGATCTTTTTAAAACAGCATTTTTCAGCTTTTCATTTTAAGATTTAATTTCAGGATTTGTCAGTTCTGGTTAAGAATGTGAGAACTGATTATAAAAAAATAACTCTTCACATTAAATTAATTGTTTTTTTCCTAAATTATTTAAGAAATCAACACAAAGTTTTAATAATGGCATAAAGTTCAAGTGAATGTATCTCAAGCAAAAGTATGTGTAAATATTATCTCACCAAGAAATATTGTAATACAGTTAAATGTATAGTACATGCAAAAGTTTTCATTTCTCTAAAATGCTGACAACAGAGGAAAATAATTAACAGAGTAGACAAATACATGTAAAGAGATAACAATGTAAAATATATTGGTTCTATCTTACTAACTTTCTCATCTAGTTTTTATAAAACAATATGTTAATGTACAGAAAAACGGAGCAGATAATAACCATTAATTCAGCAGAAAATTATAATGTCAGTACAATAATATCTATAGTAATAATATCTTAGAGAAAAAAATTCTTATTTTCCTGTATATTGACTTCAGAATCATTGATAAAGGCTAGAAATGCTGCTGTGTGCATGAAAATTTGGCTGATATTTCAGAAATCTGCTGGGAGGATTTCCTTGGAGTGTTAAAATCACTAGGTTTAAATCCATTTAATAAGGGTGAACCAGCACGTCAATGCATTGTTACCTTTTTTCCTGAATCCAGGACAAGGTGGATGTAAATGGTCTTTCTGGCCTTGAAAGTAGCCTTCTAACTATTAAAAGAGAAGATGGAGTAGTCTGATGTCAGCCAAAGAAAGCCAAAGCAGAACTGAGAGAAGGAGATAAATGGTTAAGCAAGTCTAGAAATTATGACTTAAAATTAAAAATACATTGGAGCTGCAAATGGAAACACACTGGAGTTGTTTTCTTTTTTAATATTAACAGCAAAATAATTTCTCTAAATTATTATTGACGGTTTTCTTTAAATATAACATTGAAAGTGAGCAAATACTAGAGTAGTTCTCTCTTTTTTGGGGGGGTTTTAAAGGTACTAAGAATTGATTCAAGCCTAAAATTAATGATGATTATTGTGAGCCTTCATGATTTTACTATGCTTCTGTGAATACCAATAACACATTCTCTGGTGCATACCAGGAGCTAGTTTCACAGGCATACATATAATTATAGGCTTAGTCAACTGGTAAATAGAAACTAAAGAGAAAAATGTGAATAATTATTGGGAACTACTTAACACTTACTAGCTCCTTAAAAAACACAGCTGTCTAAAGTCTTCTGTATTATTTAAAATTATTTGCAGAGAATGAACATCTGTGCATATATTCCAATCAAAACACTCAATTGTTTCCTCTCATAATATTGTTCCCTCTCGTACTCCAATCTAATTTTTTCAATCTTCAACTTTTACAGTTTCAGCTTCCCATTTTCTGCTGGAATGGAAAGCCCACTGTTATGGGTCTCCTCCCATGGAGAATGTGATCTAATTACTCATTCATATTGTTCTTGTTGCACTGAGCACCTCAAGTTTTTCCTTCTAAGAGTTTGTCCAACCCTTTAATAAAACTTGTTGCACTTCTCTGCGTCCTCCACCAACTTCTGAGAAATGTCATTCCCTTGGCCACCAGCAGAATTAACACATGCAGGGATAACATAACTGCTTAGGCTGTGCCACCAGAGTGGTCACAGATCTTTCAGAACATCATCCATCAGTATTTTAAGTCTTTTCAAGCATCACTGATTTCCCATGAAAATCTTATGTGTGTGGCTATGAGAGATATTCCAATATTTGGCCACATTGAAACTCAAACCTACACACATGTATATGTGCACATTAAGTTGATCAGTTTTTTTGTTATCTGCATCTGTCTGACTTCCTCCTAGCCAAATGCTCCTCTTTGATGCTATCTGTGGATGGCAAAATCCCCCTTTTTTAACTGACAATGATTTTGTTTTTTCAACAACCGCTGACAACATCTTTAAATTATAGTCTGATTACTTTTTCCTTCCTAGATTTCTACTAATGACCTAATTGATGAGTTATTAAAAGCTAAAAATAATTTTGACATACAGATCAATTTTTTTAATATGCTGTTTAACTAGTGGTGAATGATAATTGGTAAGCAGCACATTAATTTTGTGCTGGTCAAGTTCCATAACCCTAAGGTGCAATGTAGAATGCATTACAAAATTCTAATGCATTATCAGTTGTGCATCTGCCAGATAAACTATTTTCACATAAAAGTGAAGTGAAGATGTTTTGGAATACCTATTTCTCAAAACTATGTGGGAAGTAACATTTATGGCATTAACACCTTATTAAGAGCCAGATACTCAGTTTCTGAAGCAGCACAACAATCATTACAATTTTCAAATTCAATGACTAGGAGTTGGGAGCTCATCTTTGGACGTCTTTGCTGCTGGTGTATGTGAGGCTAGATTAGATGACTGCAGTTACTTTCCATTTGCTTAAAAGAATCAGGTTAAGAAGAGGTGCTTATATGGAAGAATCCATGAAACAGTTTCAAAATATCTGAGTAGACAGCAAAATGCCCCCACACCAGGACGCACTGAGCATAAAAACTATCGCTATGGTTCAAATCAATAGCTAGTGATCACGGGGAAAAGACTCTTTCAGGTAACTGAGTTAAAAAAAAACCAAACAAAAAAACATTCCAGATGATTCTTAATGGGTCTTGTATCATGATTTTACCATACACTAAATTTGTTTTCATACATTAAATGTGTTACAGTAAAATTAAGTGATGCTTATTAAGAAGCACAGGAAACAGACTTTGAGAGGGGCTGAAAAGTGGTGTGCCATGACTCCTTCTCCAGATTTTCCCATGGCAGGATATGCTGAATACAGGCCTAAAACAAGATAGTAGGTAATTACAGTTTTTTGTAATTACAGATCTCCTGGCTAAATTCAACTCTGTGGGTGTGATTGAAAACCAATTTTTTAAATTTCTGCTTGAGAGCAGCAGTGTTGCAGGCAGCCGGACAGCTCTGGGCTCTGCCTGTTTTACTCATCAAAGTCAGTCAAGGCCAAGCACTGCACTTGCACAAGCTGCAAGGACTTGTGTGTACTGCCCAGTTGTGCTTTGGCAGCTGTGTCCCAGTGACACTTTCCAATGTTTTGGGCTGGAACACTTGGCCAAAATGGTTTTGTAGTGATAAAGTCATAGAGGTTTTTTCCCACGTATTTTTGCATTCCATCAGCAGTCAGAGTGATTTCCATGCATTTGCCCATTTGATGCATTCCAATGCAGTGCTCTGCTACTCTTTGGTCCAAATAAATTAGACAATTGCTCTATTACATTGGTGAATATTAGACCTATAATTTTAATTCAAAATTATATTTTCCAATAACAAGCGTCTTCTGTGTACTGTGTAACCTAAAATCAACAGGCTTTCTGCTCAAACCATTCAAAACTTTGATTCCATCAACAATTTAAACATACCCTTTAATCCATTTTTAAAGTTCAGTTATACTTTTTGAACACAGTTATGTCTTAAAGTTGTTTTTTACCTTGATTGCATTGTCAAGACAGGAAAATTCATTCCTTATGGGCAGCTTTATCTTTGAATCCTCTGGCTATCTGCCAGCAGGAGAGTGTCTCCTGGATTTTCTTTAATTCCAGGTCCTTACTGAAATTACATATTTTAACTAAAACCAATTCTTTCAGTGCCAATTCGATCTAACTTTTCCAGAACTGGTGAAATCTTGATGTGAGGTGAATGTATACTGGTATAAGAAATTAGTCACTTTCCTCAATATTCTTCCTGACGAATTTGTCTTTGATCCTATTAAGACTTTCAAAGCTTTAACATTAGTTAAAGATCTTCAGAAGAAAGCAATCTGAAATTACATATAAAGGAAAATTATTAGACTTTTTCCTAATTACGGTTTGAGCCTCATTTAACAGGCATCAGGGGAATGAAGCATTTTAAAATAGGCTGAGAGGAATTACAGCACTTAAAGGCTTTATTTCTGCCTGCTAGAGATTTAGTTGTGATTTCAGTGAACTCTTGTGGTAAGTTAGAAGACGTTGCATATGTACCAAAGGGACAGAGACCCCAGGCAAAATACTTTGCTGGAAATCCTGTGGGAGGAATTTGTGTATGTAGCATGGGAAGTTGACCTGACATTCAGTGCACAGCCAGATTGAAAAAATCCTTTTCCTTATCTAACCTGAGATTCCTGCAGGAAAAGCCTCTTCAGAAATGAGTCATGTCTCTGCAAGGACACACATGGGAGGTACACTGCCAAAGCTGCAGTAGGGTGTCTGTAAGTATCTGAGAGGATCATGGAAAAAGAATAATTTTATGGAAATAAAAAGCTTTACAATGTGAATTTTTCTTTTTTTTTTTTTTCCTTAAAACACATATTTTCACAGAGAAAAATAAAAAAATTATACTTTGTAGCTCACACTTCATGACTTTATCCATTTTGCTTTCTTAGACTGATTTCTAATATTAGTCCAGTTGTTAAAAGTTAAAGATAATTTTGACATACAGGTTGGCTTACATTTTCTGATCCTGAAACTACATGGAGGTGTCTAGGTAAAATTATATTTGTTTTATATTTTTTTCTCAGATACAGTAGAATGCTTAAGGTGTTTTAATAGTATGCTGTATTTTCAATATTATTTTCTTTCATCATGCTATTTTCCCTGGTATCAGAATTCTGTCTGTTATTGAAGTTGAGTTTTTTCACTATATAGAATTCCATTCCCATCTTCTGTGTTACTGTTTTTCCTGACCTCACCTATGTTTTCCTTTTTTGCCTAGTTTGTAGTTTGCAATCTGGGACTGTCTTTGTGACCAAAGTTTCAAATGCAGATGATTCTTAGCCAAAGAGTAAAGCAATATAATATTTTTGCTTATCTTCTTTAAAACATTTGGAGATAATCGTGATGGTATTGGAATGGACCTGTGACAAGAAAAAATACAAAGTCTCCACCCACCTTGAATGAAACAGCAGATATTTCAGGACAAACAGTACATACATGCAAAAAAAAAATTATCCAGCATAATTAATTGTATTTTTTTTTCATGTTTTAATCACATGTAAGAAATATGAAGTAATTTCCTTATCCTAAAAGTCCTTGAAATTAAGTTTTATTACATAAAAGAGGGAAAATTACTTACCTTAGCTCCTTTCCATAGTACTCAGCAGCATTTTCTTTAATTTTGTAATATGTAAGACTTATTCCAATCTCTGCAGCTGTTAGTCTAATTGGATGATTTCCTGTTTGAAATGCAGAATAATTTAAAGTGACTAGCAGTTGTTCAGGGAACCTCCCTTTCTAGGACATAACTTAATCTGACATATTCAACGCTCATCAGAGATTCAACATCTTTTCAAACTGATTGCTGCTTCCTCCATCACACTCCAAGTGCCTTGACTTCCATTTAAGTGCTCCAATTCAGAGTTTGATTATTCAAATGAAACTAAGAGGAAAAATCAGCCTTTTTTTCTTTTTTGAATGTGCTTCCTCAAAATGTATGCAGCATGCATGCAGCCCTCTGTAATATTTGCTAGACAGCTCATCTTCCATGATGCAACAGCAAGCTCTGTGTTGAGTTTTATCTTTGTTGAGATTAAGGACAGTGATGTGGGAGAAATTTGTGTTGCGTACGGCTAATATCTACTGGAATTAAGCACCAAAGTTTAACCACCAAAGTTTAATTTTTTATAAAAAAGGGACAACAACTTCTCTTGACTCACACATTTCATTAAATTATAAGTTTTTGCAAGAAGATAAAATAATAGAGAAATATTATTACTTTATACGACCTATAAACATAAAACTTTGAGTCTGATTTGCCAGACCCAAAACTTCATGTGAGTCAGGTCACTGTGGAATCTGAAAATGCTGACGGTATGGGAGAGGCTGTTCCCCTTACTCAGACAACTACTCAGGCACGTGTTCCTCCAAGGAACCCAATTATATCAGACTACTGATAAAATGCTGCTTACCTTCTGACTTGTTTTCTTGTTTTTGTTAATTTTTGTTTGGTTTTGCATTTGGCTGTTTTTATTCCTTTGCTGTATTGTACATGTGCACAGAATTTTCCTCTTGGTGAAATAAAGACACAATTTTTCTATAGATGCCCTTGAAAAAATGAAAAATTTGCTTAATTTTCATTAGTAAGGAAGTTAAGGAAGTTATTTGGCTTAAGAATTATACCTGCAGAATAAGATTTGAATAGTAGGTTAAAAAAAAAAAAACCATTTGCAAACAAACTATGTGACAAACTCCTAAGGAGGAAATGAGGTTTCCTCTGTGTGGAAGAATCTGGGAAGCATTTACTGAACCATAATGGGAACAGTTCGCTTGAGGTTTCATCTGGAAAATTTCATGCTTTTTAAGAATGTCTGTGACATGAGCTGCTCACTCATAAAAACGACCGGAGAACAGAAGAGACAAATAATATTTCTTAAGATGTACACTGAATACATGGATATCACTTAAACAAGAACAACACATTAAAAAATCAAAATAAATAAACACATTCTAAAAAAATGCTTGCATGTGTGCTCAGGGTGAAGGAGACCAAAACACCTCTCCAAGAACTATTTTTCTAGCTGGTAATGTTTTCTGGCTGTCAACTTGGCAGACTTATGATGAAAAGCGGCAATCCTCTCCTTTTTCAAGCTGCCATTCCCTTTTTACCTTACATTGCTATGAGGCAAGGTTTTCCTCAGAGGTAGCAATGAAAAAGAAGTTCAAAAGTTGAAAATAAAAGCTGCCTGGGGTATAAAATATTGAGGGGGATTTTCTTCTTTATTCCTGAGGTATGGAATATGTTCCAACTCTTGGCCATTAGTGGACAAGTATATATGCAGTTATATGCAACTTTTCTGATTATTTTTATGTATTTATTTCTTACCATAATGACTAAATTTTACTAGGTCAAAGCTAAGAAAACCCACAGAAACCCAAACCCCTTTTGCTGATGCCAGGCATCGTGCTTACCTGAAGAATGCAGAGGCAGAGACTGTGAAGAAATCTCATTTTTTCATGGTCATCTTGGGCAGTTAAACATTTTTATTTAGACTTTAAATTGTTTTTCATTTTTATTAATTTCTTTATGAACTCAATTGTGGCATCATGCATAATGAAAGAAAATGTTTGTGCAGTATTGAGGCATGGATTAAAATGTATACCATGTAGATATGAAGTGATGTACTAAGTACCTTCTGGTTCCTAAGAAGGGACTGCACCTTGCTGCTCCAAGAGGAGAAGCACACACAGACTGTGCCTGTGTTAGCACACAGTGACAGATCAGCTGGAAGGCACCATCTGTAAGGAAAACAATTCCAGTGAAGTTCTGGAGGGTTTTTATGTGTTTGTTTTGGCTTTTTGTTATTTTTTTTCTTTATGTCAGGCTAATTCTACTTTGACCCAATGGATTGAGTGACTATTGGTTGATAGAGTGCACCAGCCATTCTCCTGGAGCTCCTCTTGTGGTTTAGCTTCCTCTGAGATCGTACAGTTCGAAATCTCCAAAGACTGCTCCTTGGGAATCCAGAGAAGAGCACAAATCTCACTTTAGAAGGACACTGCTGACCCATTCTATTTAAATCTAATCTGTTAGGCCAGTGTTCCACATGATAGCAATAATGCATTGATACTGAGACCTCTATTTAATATTTCTGGCCTGTTCTCATGAAATAAATCAATTTTCTTTGATACTCCACTCTATTCTCTTTTCACCACATTCAAAATTAAGAAAGTGTCAAGTGAACTGGACTGATACCCCTATTGATGACTGGGGCTAGTATTTTTGCTTTCTATTTCTGGAAAGGAGATAAATGGAATTTTCTTTGGAAAAATTCTTATAAAATAATTGGCTTTTTAAAATTTTCATCCGTTTCTTTTGAACCTCATAATTTTTATGAAGCATATTACAGATGTGGTTGTGCATGACAAGATTAGTCACAAGACATTTAGAGCTAGTTAATTAACACTGCTTTACAGAGTTTTTATTTAGTAAAATTAGAGGGCACTGCTTTAGTCTGTTTAAAGGACCTATTATCTTGCAGCTAGCATCCAATAATTTGTCTTACATAAGCAGTTAAAGTGAGTCTGAATCTCAATATAGCAGTTTGGCAGAAGTGTTAAATATAGGTATCATCTAAACTCACTGGAAATGGTGATTGTTTTTCCTAAGAACACAGTCCAAAAGTGAACAAAAAATGAAAGGGGAAAATTTCCAGCAGGCCTTCTTGGCTCAAATCATAACAACTATGTTAATCAGAGCTTTGTTTTGCACTGCCTGCAATTGCTTTTCAACAGTCAGTACAAAAGTTAGCAAAGCATAAGCATTCATGTGACAAGAATAACTCCCCTAGGAGCAGGAGCTGAAGCTGACCTTCTGAGGAGAGGACGTTGCACAACTGTGAACAGAAGTACTTGGGGAAGGCTTGTAGCATGGTAATTCTTGTAAAAGACTACAGGTAGTTGTGTCCAGTTCTCATGGAGAAGTACTTCATTTGTTTCTATGCACCATGCAGTCTGAAGTGAAGCAAGAAAATATCAGCTATCAAATGACCATCACATATTTTTATGTGAACAACACTATCTCAGATGCCATTTTGTTTCTTTTTTCCCTCAAGTCTCTGAAGTTCTTTGGTATTACCAGAAATCCCTCACCTTAGAGATTGCTGACCTCATCATTGTGAGGCCACACAAATTCATCAGAGCAGAGACACCAATAAGTATCCCAAAAAAGACTGGGGAGGTAGAGGCTTAGTGTGTTGAGGGGCATTTTGGTAGAGCTGCTTTCTTGTCTCTAAGCTATTGAGTGGGTTTCATAATAGCTGAGAAAATACTATTTTTTATAATATCATAAATATAATAAAAGGAACTTGCCCTGACAAATCAAGATGAGAACAGCACTAATCCTGAACTGGCTGTTGTCAATAAACTTGTGCATGCCTATAACGTTGTATGCTTCTGAACAGTCATGCACCTTAGTACTTGAAATAAGAATTTAAAATCCACAGTAAATAAAGCAAAAAGAATCTGCAAGGTAGTAAAAATAACATGCTCAGAGATGCTTGAATAAATAAAGAAAAAAGAAAGCACAAGATAATAAAATAACCTACTCAGGGACATTCTAATAAAATTTAAAGGCATAGATAGCAAGCTAGACAAAAATGAGGCATATTGTCTGCAATGAGTTAACAAATGAGGTGGGAATCCCTATTCTGAATATAATGGAAGTATTCCAAGTTCCCATAATAAATTCCTTTCTCCTTTTGTGTGGGTAGTTTTTTCAGGCAGAAACATTTCTGGAATGAAGAGATGGGCACTTAATCTAAAGCAAGTAAGATAATACATAAATAAGAAAAACTATAATCAAAAATACAGGTTTTCAAAAGGAAAGGTGGTAGAAGTGGAAAGGCTGAACAAAGAAAGACAAAGAAGAGAAGTGCTCTGGGTGGAATAGACAGCAACATTTTATCAACTAAAACAGCTTTCAAAAAAAAAATTCTGATGGAAAACCTAGAGAACCTTTTTAATTACTACTCGAGGAAAGAACCTACCTTCATTTTATCAAAAACTGTGTGGCATTTATGAGGAATTCAATTTCTGCACTTCATACCCAGAGTAATTTCAAAAGTTTGTAGTGTCCAGTTGATGATCCTTTACTGCTTAAACAGTGTCTATTCTTAGGTGAAAAATAAAATCAAGAAGAAAAACAGTTCCTGAAGATCTCCTCTGCAAGAAGTATGATCTCTTGTGCCTAAACATATTAAAGACCAAACTGAAGCAAGAGAAGATGCTTACAGCAATAAGAGTTCAAGAGTACTTCTGTTCATCAGCTTTCTCTGAGTTACATTCCCAAACTGCACAGTAAACTTTTAAATTAGCAGAAATTAAAATAATTGTGGTTTTTTTTTTTTTCCTTTTTGTTATAATTAAGCCAGGATTTTTTCCTTTTTCTCACTAATTGCCATTGGAATGCTATACCAATAATGCCTTTTTAAAAAAGTAAAATTAAAGGTTAAAACCTCTAAATCAAAATTAAAGGTTTAAACCTTGAAATAAAATGATGCATTTTTTATTTTACTTAAAGGCTGAAATCTCCTTACAAACTTATTGTTTTTGACTGAAGTTGTTTTTTTTTTTCCTAACAGACTCCTCTGGGTTTGTCATTTGCAGACTTCCAGTAAAAACATGTCCTTTAGACTCTCGCTGAAGACACTA